GGTGGTTTGCTTGCTTGCTGCTTGGGTTTTTTGAAGTAAAAGGGGTCTGTATCACTGTAATGAATGTCATTCTTACGGTAGAAAGGCCTTTTTAAAGAGGAAGGTTCTGGAGTGTTTTCCTACAGCTGGTCTGACTCTGGATTCACATAATCTCTTCAGGGAGTTTGTTCCATAGCCAGATCCTCTGAGTGAGACTGCCTTTCCCCAGGTCTCATGCACTTAGTCCTGGACTTTGTGAACTGCTGATGCTTTGCTATTTCAGTGTCTCTAACTTCCAGGTACATGGACAAGGTGCATCCTGGTGCAGCCACTGGAATGTCCCTTCTACATCCCTGTTGAACTCCCAATATGTAGAAGAATATTGCCATGTTCCACTGTACTACAAACAACAATAAAGGGGTTAAAGGGATGTGCTGTAATATACCTTGAGACTTTTCCCCTTCTCCACATTGTCTGTCTCAGTTCTTTGTCCTGGAATAATGAACAGCTGGTATACATAGCTCCTGGCTGCTCTGACTGATGGATGCATGGCCCTTCTGGATCACTTCTCAGGGAATTGCTGGCAAGCTTTTTTCTTCCGCTTGCTCAATACAAGCAGGTTGCTTGGTGATTGATCATGAAGCATCATACTTTGCAGAGCAATCTTTAGATTTCTGTCTCTCAGGTAAGCTGAATGATATGATGTAACATCACATGTGTGTATCATAAACTGACCTTCAAGCTACTGAATAAAGCCAAGGCTCACCACCCTCCTTACTGCTCAGTTTTCTGTTCACTGCCAGTTAGAACATCATAGGCAACAGCAATAGGAGACAAACAGAACTACAGAACTTGCAGGGGGAAAAAACAGCTTGTACCTACCTGCAGCTAACTCCACTCCAATCTATGGTAGCATAATCCAGAGGGTAGACTCTGAGCTTGGGAGTCTAGAAATGCTCCAATAAATAACCCCTTCTCTCAGCTCCTTACTGCTCTCCTTTAATTCCCCCCTCATATTTCATTGTTTATATTTTAGCCTTTGTGATCTGACCATGGTGCTGAACTGCTGATGGGACAGGGCTGGGTTTACTCCAAGGTGGTTATTTTCAGGCACTTCTGTTATTAAAAACCCATCTGGGACATTTCTGAGTTGGTTTGTTTCCAGTGTATTAAATCAGGATGATTTAAACATGTTGATTTTAAAAAACAACACAACTTGATCATAGGTTGTGAAGCCTTTCACCTCTAGGTCATCCATTCAATTCCAGCCCAGGTCAATAGTAAATACCATCTCAGGGATGTTCTATAACCTATGTGAAATAATTGGATTATCTCAGTCAAGTTCTAAGTGGATAGAGGTCCACAGCACAAAAAGACACCACAATTGGCAGCAATTGGCAACCTTGTTAGAAATCTCACCAAAGAAGCCAAGGACTATTTGGACTGTGGAAATGGAAAGTGAAGTCCAGGGCAGGATTCAGGAACGGTCATTGCAGTCTGGGTGAAATGTGCCCTGCTGCATCCTTTGCTATGTCTATTCAGTGGGTAGAGAGAGGATTTAAGTCTCCAGGCTTGACAATCAGGCACTTTTCACTGGCACCATTCAACCAGTGTCCTCAACTAGTTCCCTTATTTTCCCCTATAACCACTCCTATTCCTGCCGTTTTTTTAGTGGTCCCAAAATACTCACTTGGTTTCCATATCATTGTGGTCCCTCTCCTCTTGTAAGGGAAAGGCCATAGTTGCTCCAGTGATGGAGCCTTCTTCAGGGTCTCCACACACTCCTGGTAGTCAAATAGACTGGCCCTCCACTAGCCACACATCACAGCCATGTGATTTTTTAAATGCCCAAAAGGAACAGTCCAGGATCCAGGGGAATGAAAAACAAACTGTTAAATTTTGTTGGTCTGAAAGTACCAACATCTTTTAGAATAAAACCACTGATGTGATCTCAGTACAAGCATCCTGCACTGAACAATTTCATTCTAGTAAACAGGAATTGTTGACCCTGTTGGATGTTGGTCAGCATCATAAAACCACTCCATAATTTGGAACAATTAATTTCTACTGTCCGTTTCTGCTCAGGTGAGGCCCAGTACTGAAATATCAGGGATTGCTGTCCCTCAAGATGGAAATGTGTTGTCAGAGCTTTGTGGGGACCCAGGATCTGGAATAGCTACAGAGGTTGCAACTTTTAACATTGAGATTTATTAGCAGAGCTATGTTGAGGTCCAGCACTGGCATAGCAGAGGATAACATCTCTCACTCAGTATTGAAAGTTCAATTCTCACCTTGATGCCAACCTCCATCACCCCCTTGTTACATTTTCAAAAGAACCTTTGCGTTTTCTCCCATGGTGCCCCTCATGATTGGGAGGAGCTCCCTCTAAACGTCCATAAAGTTACCTCATTATCCTCCTTCAAATCACTCCTTAACATTCTCCTTTACTGTAATGCCTAAAAAAAACAACTAGCAATGGTTAGGCTCCTGGTATGCTGAGACCACTGCTTATCATACTATCCAATATTGTCTTATTGTTCACATGTACTGTCCTGTCAACCTGTCTGTATCCATCTGTTGTCTCTTGTCTTATACTTAGATTGTAAGCTCTTTGGGGGTAGGGACTTTTTGTTCTTTCTTTGTACAACACATACCACAATGGGCCATGACTTGGGGCTCCTAGGTGCTATGATAATACTAATTAAATACATAAAATAATAATACCAATAATAAAAAATAATAAATTATGCAGGTCAGAATTTAGGTGATCTAGGGACACAGAGGGGAGCAACAGCCCTTGCCTAGTACCTCCCTGAACCATTCTGGCTTAACTCAGTATTTTCAGATCCTCAGTTTAATGGGTACCAGCTTTATCTCATTTAAACAATGATAGAAAAAGAAAAGAACTTGTGGCAGGTGTGTATGAGAGAGAGAGATACAGTAAGCGCCATTGCGCTTTTCTGTGCTCTTCGTAGATGAAGATTCTGTACATAGTCCATGACATGGAAAGCATTCCAGCTCATCTTCCTGGCAGTTTACAGGGAGGAACCATTGAAAGGGACAAATCTTGCTCTATTCTGTTGACTAAGCTGCTTTCTATGGCTATACAGAAAAGAGCTCACAAAAGGTGGAAAGCTTGGGCTTATCACAGTTCTTTATTCTCCACCTACCACAGGAAACTGCTCAAGATCTCAGAGCTTGAGCAATAATAATAAATGAATAATAAATTGTTAATACCCAGCTCTTAAATGGTGTTTTTCATTATTTGAACTATGTCCACTTTTCCATTCCTTGGAGAACTAGAACCATTTTGGGACAGAGGTCAAAGGGGTTAACTCTGAACATAAAAAGTAGTCTACATTGATGAAATCAGTGTTTCTCTAGTAGACCTAATCATTCCTTAACCTTTAGTGATTCACACAAGCTGCTTATTATTATCCATGTAAACTAACAAAGTTGTAAAGAAAGATAAACTCATGATAACAGAACCAGGTGCTGAGGATGAGGGGAGTGGCATCAGAATCCAGAGAATCATTAGCAGGATGGATGGCAGCACACATCTACTCCACATGGAGACAATAGTTAGGGCCTTTTCTATAGATTGTAACATTACAGAATCCAGTCCTAACTCATATGACTGGTTCTGTTGACCCCAGTGGGGCTTACCATTTGGATCAAGGCTATGGGATCAGGGCTATGATAATACTTCACACCTTCTATCTGAGGATGCCAATGAACTTTACAAGTGAAAATTAATTAAAACTCACAACACCCCTATGAAGTAAGTAATTTGTGACACCCCCCTCCCACGTTATAGATGGAGGAGTGAGATACAGATAGGTAAAGTGACTTTCTCAGAGTCATATGCTAAATCAGTGGAGGAACCAGAAATAGGATCCAGATCTCCTGAATTTATGTGCTTGTGACGACAACACAATCCTTCTGTAATCAAGCCTGATCCTGAGCATTTCCTGAAAAATGCTCAGTTCCATCAACCTCCATTGTCTATAAAAGGCTTTGGTGGCACTTGGCTCCTACTGAGGGCAATGGGAATCTTTCCATTGACTTTAATGGGAGCAGGGCCAGGCCCTGAAGAAGGCATGTGGTCTAATGTGTCAATGGAGACACAATGGTTCCTAGTCTATACAAAGCAGGTATGAACGGGAAAGATCATTGCTTTTCCCATATCCCAATTTGCTGATTTGTGGTTATATTGAGGCCTTTGGGTCGCCTGATCTTAAACATTTACAATAGGATGACCAGACAGCAAGTGTGAAAAATTGGGATGGGGGGAATAGGTGGCTGTATAAGACAAAGTCCCAAATATCAGGACTGTCCCTATAAAATTGGGACATCTGGTCATCCTAATTTACAACACCACCACCACAAAACTCTGCCTCTTGCACAGTCTTCCATAAAATACAACCAGTTTATGTTATTGTGTATAGTTTTCATTGCTGAGCTCCCTCTGGTGGTTGATGATTTAAACGTTATCTCTTTGGTACTCATGTGAGCAGTGCTGTAGAGGGGTGGGGGGAGGTGAAGAAGAGGACAGTCCATACTGATTACCCAGTGAGAGGAACTACAAATACCAGAAGCTCTCAGGACAGCCATCGAAGGACCCCAGGATATTCCAACAAATTCAATATTTCCTAAATATCTATTTTTTTTTTTAAGTAAAGCTCTAATTTCCAGAAATAAATATTTCTGGGAATTATTGACTGATTTGATTTTTCTCTCAGCTGTTATTTTTCTCTTTGGTGTGTGTCGGTTTCAACCTCATAGCAAAGACACAGCAAAAAAGGAAGGACCCAGACCTTTAATCCTGTTTTGCAGTGGATTTAAGAAGAAACAATTGCAACAGGGGAACCAATGGAAAAACTCCTGAAAACTGAATTGAAGACCTCCATTCTGAAGGCGTTTGGGAGCTCAGGAGGAGGGTATATTAGCCGAGGGCAGAGCTATGAAACTGACAGCGGGCAAGTGTTTGTGAAAATCAATCACAAGCCTCAGGTTAATGCTGATAATATTGCTGCATGTTCACTGCAATGTGCTTAATTGTCTGGAGATGTTTGTTGATGATTGTAAATTGTGTGTTTTCAAGCTTAATGTATTTTTCTCCTTTTAAGAACTGAAATCTTTTTAAAGCACATTTTAGACAGTAGGCTCAGTTAATGTTTATCTGTAATGCTGTTGTAAAGCAACTTGACATTCCTTTGCAATACTAAGTGCAAAATAATTTACATTGCTGCATAAAAAAGCATAGAGCAGAGCAATTGCCCTCATGCTTAGAATTTGTTATTGGGCCAAATACTATCCCTGAAATGGCTATTCCCACCCTCCAAAGCAGAGTACATTCTTTTATTGGGGAAAGGGTTTTGGTCCACAAAACCCAGGATATCTTGAGATCAGCAGAAGCATTGAGCATCTGCAGTGCTTCCTGGCACTATGGCAACATAACTCCTACAGGAGATATGCTCCCATCAGCTTCCGTATTCATCCTTGCTCCTCAATCCCCCTTAAGAAAGTGGTTTCACTTGATGCAGTGGAAACTGAAATATGTTAATACTGACAGTATCAGGAATCCTTGAATGGTTGTAGGAGAAGGAGGGATTACTTCCGAAACCCCACTTCCACCTATCCTGATCCTACCCATAGAGTCTGTTCCCCATGGCATAGGGAGGAGGAAGGGAGTGTGCTGTGGTGCTGGTGAGCCACCATCCTGGATCTTCTCATTTTTCCTACCCTCTGTTCACAGAAGCAAGGGAGCATGTGGGCCACTGTTATGTTGTATTATTATTTAAATTGTGTGATACGAAAGGAGAGAAGGTTGGCACTCACCTTGATAAGGGTGGGAGAGTTGTAGTGGCCTTTTCAACACACATATGGTTAAGGCATTGCCACTTACCCACGGCACCTAATCACTTGTGGGAAGGATGCCTAGAGCCCTGCGTATGTACCCTTTCTTATGTTTTGTACAATTCTAAAATAATAAATAATTGGTTAGTATTAAGGCAAAACTAGAAAAAATACTTGAACTAAACCATTGGCTCCAAGCACCCTATTACTTTGGGAATATTGGCATTCAAATGTGATGTTTGTGGATTGGGACATTCTCTAGTCAGAACAAGGCTATCAGTCAATTTACAGTTGAGAAATAGGAGTTTAGGAGGAAACGTGTGGCCTGGTGGAATCCAGATGCACAGAGGAACTGAGGGAGATCCACCCTAGGGGCAACTGCTTGACCACTGTCTGCTGGCTGATTTTTAACACAGAATTGCCATCGACTCTTTTGGGACCCGCTTTCAGGTAAGTGGTATTGGTGCCACATTTGTTGAATCTGCCTTAGAAAAATAGAAAGACTGACTCAGCCAGGAGAAGAGAAAGAAATCAGTTTAAATGTGCATGTTGAGATTTTTGTTTCTATCGCATTTAGGAGCTTTTTAAGTGGTTGGTAACATTTTGCTGAGTTAGAATGTTTTAGCCAACAGTCTGAGAGGGCTAAGTCATCAGATCCCCATTGTTTACATTTACCGGATGGTTCTGTGTGTGCATGCAATAATTAAATTAGCTATCAGTTGATTGCTGTAAAAACCTTGATTAACACAGTACAACCAAGTAAGAGTTTAAAAATTATTTAAAAGATCATTGAAATATAATTGGAAAGAAATCTCCAGGCTATCTATAAACTTGTTTTATTCTTCCTCTTCCTTTTTAGGTAAAGATTAATCTTTCTGCAACCCAAGGAATTTATGCAGAGATTGCATGTGCAATATAATTTTGGATTTCTTGTTTTTCTTACTAATACCTGTACCTGCAGTTTGTTGCATGTAAATGGGTTCCTCCTTCTGTGTGGAGCCCCACTGACCTCAATAAGGCAATCACAATAAGTAGTAGGATTGGGGGCTAAAGGCCTGATCCTGTCGATAATCCTTACTGAAGCAAAGTGTCCATTGACCTTAATGGGGTTTATCTGTGCGAGGAGTGTAAGGTTGGGCACATAGTCAGTCTCTTCCTTATTGTAAAAAGCCTTTCTCTGCTGTTATTAAGGATAGTCCAGTGCCTCAGGAACTAGTTTAGGGTTTATGGGACTTGGGTTCAAGTTTCTATTTTGCTACAGACTTCTTGTATAACCATAGGCAAGTCACTTAATCTTTCAGTTCCTATCTGTAAAATGGGGATAACAGCACATCCTTACCTCCCAGGAGTGTTGTGTGGATAAAGATTGGGAAGTGTTTAGCTACTATGGTAATAAGAGACATGTGAACACCTAAGATAGACAAACCCTTTCCTTATCCTCCTAAGAGAGAATAAAATAACATAAAAGTACTCAAATTTCTATTGCTGAACCCAGAAATCAGGTATGCAAGAAGCATCTAGCAGAAAGGTAACATTTCCTTACAGAAGAAAATGTGGGAGCTGCAGTCTTCGCTCAGTGGGAAGTTGGAAAGAAAAGGCTTTAATTTTCCAGGAAATACTCTTAGCTGTTCTGTTACTAAATAAAGGCAGAACAAAAAATTCAGCCATAAATTTGTAGTTCAGTACATGGGAAACTGATAAGTCTGGGTTATTTCATTCTAAAACATACAATTAAAAATGGGCAGAAAGAGTAATACTGTCACTTAGAAGGTCAAACTGTTCAGCAGTACACTGGCTTAATTAATGTGATCAATCTCCCACTTGGGACTTGCTGCTTAGTCACAGTCTAAGGATTTACTCCTTTATTTCAAGTGGCAGGTTTTTATGCTTTTCTTGTTGAAAGTTTTGGGTTCTAGCCCCACTGGTAACCCTGCTGTACCTAGGTTTGAGGCCAGAGATTAACTACACATAGATGTTTTGAGTATTTACACTGATAAGTTGTGTAATGTGTTGAACTACGCTGAACTTGCAAGAAAAGCAATAACAATACAATCAAACCAATCTATCCTGGCTGGGACAGAAGCTTTGCTAATTTGCTGCTACATTTTATTATGAAGGATTAATAGATTCACAGATTTATAAACAACAAATATTTTCCAATACACCTAGTGCAGAAATCACATCATTTAGCCCAAGGATATTTGCCCCAGTGAAATTCTTGTTTCTGAATAGGCTAGAAAAATGTTTGAAGGTGAAATGGCAAGTTTAGAGGCTATCCAGAAAACCAACACCCTGAGAGTGCCCCAGCCCATTAAAGTGATTGACCTTCCAGGAGAGGGTGCAATGTTTGTCATGGAGTACCTGAAGATGAAAAATCTCAACAAGTATGTCTGAACTTCATACTGTCTTTGTTACTATGATTTTGAGAGTCTCTGCTTATAATTCTGTTGTGTTGGTGGGAATCTCTGAAAGAGTCTATTCACTATCTTCGGCAAATGATATCACTCGTGTGTCTGATAACTGTAAAAATAAAAAGTAAAAGTGAAATTCAAATCAACAATCAAGCTTCTAGGCCAAATTCTCTCTTGCATTTGGCCCTTTATCTCTTTCAGGAATATGTGGTCTATACCTGATTGTTCACATTTGTCAGAGCAGCTTTACTCACAGGTAGCAGCCATGTGATATATCTGTACATTTCTCAGACAATTAACTTGTCTTTGAGAGGTTCTGTTAAGCTTCTGTTGAGTTAAACTATTCCATTGCTTTCTCTTTCTCCTGATTTTTAAATTGCCTCCTGCTTTACAGAGTTGCTCCCTGCCTTCTCTGGTCTTTAATTCTCTCTTGTTTAATAAATGGTGTTTAAAGGCATATTTTAAACGAACAGATAAAGAATGTATGGTTTTGTTTCTCTGATCTTACAGACACTCTGCAAAGCTTGGAGAGCAGATAGCAGATCTTCACCTTCACAACCAGAAACTTGGAGAGAAATTAAAGAAGGAGGGAAACACTGTTGGTAGAGTATAGATTTAAAGTACTAGTGCAATACTGCGATAATCACTTCTGGATATGACACAGTATTTAATACATGTAGCATTATAATCCTTATGAATGGAGAAAACCAATTTAAAGGGCCCCTGTCTGCTAAAATACCAAATATATATACAAAGTATCTTTTGATCCATAGAACACTAAACTTAAATAATTTGTAACTTTTTACTTTGCCTTTACTAAATAAAAAAAAAAACTGCTAACAATAAAAAGATTTCTATTGGTTATAGTTTTTGTAATTTTTTAAAAACAAAAAATTTGGGTCAGATTTACCTTTCAGTATCCCTGTAAGCCTTTCATCATCATGTACTATCAAGATAATCCCCTGAAGGTTTTTGAACCAACCAAGTAAAAAACAACAACTATTAAACATGTCTATAGGTCAGGTACAGTTAACTTGTTATTATAACATGTAATACCATTTAATACAAAATATACAGAAATTCACATTTACTTACACTAGAGATATTTTACACTTGCAGTAAAATACATTGCACTTTTTATTAAAATAATAAAGGAATGTATCTTTAGGTTAATAAAAAGACAAGTTAGTTCTACTGAGTATTACTGTTCATCTTGAGGGCAAAGTTAATTCAGTAGGGTTCTGATCCAGTTTCCACTGAAGTCAATGGGAGTCTTTTCAGTGACTTTTTCTACAGCTTGATCTAACTCCCACTGAACAACACATGAAGCACAGCAAGATCATTTGCTATGTCAGGGTTAGTAGTGTTCAAATCTAATGCCCAGATTTTGCACCTAGTTGTGTATGCATGGTTCCCACCGATTTCTGGGGAGGACAGAATGTGCTCTATAGTGGTATGCTTATTACCAAGTAATTACATTATTTGTGAGTGAGGTGCAAGATTGCTGATCTGTCTGAAATAATGTACAGTATGAGACACACAGTTAAAAGTTTTGGTTAGGAGGCAGCAGGGTAAAGTGCTTAGAAAAGTGTGGGTGCAAATCAGGAGACCTGGGTTCTGTTCCTGATTCTGCCACTGACTTGCTCTGTGCCCTTCAGCAAGTCAATGAACCTAACTGTACCTCAGTTTTCCTTGCTGAAAAACAGCCCAGGTTTTTTACTTCCATCTTTAATAGGTCTGTGATTCTCCAAAGAAAAAAAGCTACATATACATGCACAGAATTATTACTCTTTGTGTTTTAAAGTATTTAGTTGACCTATTGTTTAATTACCTATTTTCCCCAATTTTTTCTGCCTAGTCATATCAGAACTGGATTAATAAATCTATTGCTCTTGCAAAGTTCAGGATTGGAGGGGAAAAAAGCTGGTTTGCCCTTTGGACATGATCAGTCTTTTTGTTTGCTAGGTAAAGGTGCAGGACATTCTGAACCTCAGTATGTGGATAAATATGGATTCCATACAGTCACATGCTGTGGCTTTATACAGCAGGTAAGTCCCAGCTCTGTGAAAGTTATTATTACATGTTAAAATCAAACACTAATTCTATATTCAATGGCTTGTTTTAACCACCAGTTTTGTTCTCGCTGTTTCATTTTCATCTTAAAAGTTTTTAAAGTATAAACAAAACGTAATTTTTACCTCCAACTTGGGAAAAGATGGGGTTTGTTTTCCTGCACAGGACTGCTAATTTCTTGGACTGATAAGGTTTTGTTCCTAATTCAAAACTGTAAGAGTTCTGATAGACAAAAACCTTATTAACTACATAACCCTGTCTCATTCACTGAGCAGTGGCTATTTTGTGCAATGAAAAAATAGGTATATGATTTTTTACGTGATCCTAATGCACACGCATGAGGAAGAAGAATTAAAGTTTTGTTTGAGCTTCCTAATATTTTTCAGTGCTTAATTTTGCAACTGTAATAATACTCTTTTAATGTAGTTTATTTGTGTCTGTATAAAAAAAAATGGAATAATTTAACCACTCCTGAGATACAGCCACTTCTGAGGTGGAACCTGGCAGCACACAGCAAGCCTACACAGCAGTTTTGGACAGGAAATGAAAACTACTCAGGGATTCTCCAATGTTCAGACCTCTTGCTAAGAAAAGGATCCCTTCACAAATTACTTCCATCCTCTCCCAAAACTCACTTACATAGTTCTCAAAAGGTGAAATTCCCTCCCATCTGAAGGACCAGTGGAAAAGTCTATGCAACACTTAAATTCAACTTAAAACCCTCAGAGCAGGCTTCATATGGTGCATGGGCCTTCTGCTGGCTCTCTGCACAGGGGTGAGTTTCAACCAAAATATTTAACTGTGCAGACCATTGAGAAGGACTTTGCAGACTACTAGTTGTCCCTGAACCACAAATTGAGAACCATTATCTAATTGAAATGTCAGAGGGAATTTTGGCTATCCAGAGCTAATAAAAGGTTAAGCAATGTTTAATATCTGCAAGTGCCCAGAGCCTTAGGTTTATTTCTCATATGAAAGATAGCCCCTCCTTAACATGGACGCAAAAGGCAGAATAGCCTTAAATGAATGATCAACAAAACATTTAACAGCATCCTAAATTTTTCTTGGTGGTCACCCATCCCAGAACTGAGTAGGCCTTGACCGTGTTTAGTTTACAAGCACCCTGGTAGCAAGGCAACAGGCCATAGTATCAGTAATATACAGTTTAATTTTACAGATATATCAGCAGAAAATCTTTACAGTGCTGTTTCCTCTTCAACTGATCATGATTACTTGAATCTTGATATCTTATTTTCCAGGTGAATGAATGGCAACGTGATTGGCCTACTTTCTTTATATGTCACCGACTCCAAGCTCAAATGGATTTGATTGAGAAAGATTATGGAGACAGAGAAGCAAGAGAACTGTGGTCACAGCTTAAGGTAGGTAAATAAATACATGAATGTGTCTCATAGAGATAAAAGGTCCATTGTACTTATAAAAAATATACAAGATGAATACTTCAGTGGAATTTTACACAATTTTTATGGCAAACTTTATATGGCTTTTAGTAAACAGGTCTAATTTTACTTAAGGTCCAGATGCCAGAGTTAAGAAAAAAGGGTGCATGTTACTGTAGTAGGCTTTTAAAATGGGTGCAGAAGTTAGCATTGCATCCTGGCATTGAAATGTACATCTTAGAGCCCCCACCTAGTATTGACCAGACTCTACATTATTGCTAAAAAGCCAGAGCATCTGTGAATAAATATAAGTTAATTTTAGTAGATTGAGCATTTATAGATCAGCTACACTTTTATTCCCGGAACTTATTGTAGGATTAGATTGCTGTCTAATGGTTGTAAGCAAGACACAAGAAGTAATTCTTCTGCTCTACTCTGTGCTGATTAGGCCTCAACTGGAGTATTGTGTCTAGTTCTGGGTGCCACATTTCAGGAAAGTTGTGGACAAATTGGAGAAAGTCCACAGAAGAGCAACAAAAATGATTAAAGGTCTAGAAAACGTGACCTATGAGGGAAGACTGAAAAAATTGGGATTGTTTAGTCGGAAAAGAGAAGGCTGAGAGGGGACATGATAACAGTTTTCAAGTACATAAAAGGTTGTTACAAGGAGGAGGGAGAAAAATTGTTCTTAACTGCTGAGGATAGGACAGGAAGCAATGGACTTAAATTGTAGCAAGGGCGGTTTAGATTGGACATTAGGAAAAACTTCCTAACTGTCAGGGTGGTTAAGCAGTGGAATAAATTGCCTAGGGAGGTTGTGGAATCTCCATCATTGAGGATTTTTAAGAGCAGATTAGTCAAACATCTGTCTAGGGTTGCCAATTTTCTATTTGCACAAAACTGAACAACCTTGCCCTGCCCTGCCCCTCCTCTGAGGCCCCGCCCCCACTAACTCCATCACCCTGTTATCTCATTCTGTTGCTTGCTCTCCCTACCCTCACTCGCTCACTCCGGTTGTGGGTGCGGGCTCCAAGGTGGGGCCAGAAATGAGGAGTTCAGGTGTAGAAGGGGGCTCTGGGCTGAGGCAGTGGGTTGGGATGCAGGAGTGGTTGAGGGCTCCGGCTGGGGGTGCAGGCTCTGGGGTGGGGCCAGAAATAAGGAGTTCAGGGTGCGGGAAGGGGCTCTGGACTGGGGTGTGTGTGGAACCAAGGGGTTTGGAATATGGGAGGGGGCTCTGGGCTGAGATAGGGGGTTGGGGTGTGGGAGAGGAGTCTAGGCTCTGGTCTGGGGGTGTAGGCTCTGGGGTGGGGCCAGGGATGGGGGATTTGGGGTGTAGGAGGGGCTCTGGGCTGAGGCTGAGAGGTTCAGAGTGTGGAATGGGACTCTGGGCTGGAGCATGGGGTTGGGGTTCGGGGGGGGGGTTGGGTTCTGGCGATAGGTGCCAACTCCCTGGGTGGTCTGGGGCTGGAGCACCCACAGGGAAAATTAGTGGGTGCTCCTCACCCACCAGCAGCCAAACTCCCCCCTCACCTTCTTCTCCCCCCGCGCAGTGCGCCACGTCCCTCTCCCTCCCAGCACTTCCGGCCACCTAACAGCTCTTTGGCGGCATTTAGGACTTTCCAGGAGGGACGGGCAGGAGCGGGAATGCAGCGTGCTCAGAGGAGGAAGTGGAGAAGAGGCGGGGCAGTGGCGGGAACTTGGGGGAAGGGGGTGGAATGGGGCTGGGGCAGGGACTTTGGGGAAGGGGTGGAATGGAGATGGGGCGAGAGCGGTGCAGAGGCGGGGCCAGGGGTGTCGAGCACCCACTGGGCAGAGGGGAAGACGGTGCCTATGGTTCCAGCTGGGGGTGCAGGTTCCAGGGTGGGACCAGAAATGAGGGGTTCATGGTGTGAGAGGGGGCTCCAGCCTGGGGCAGGGGGTCGGGGTGTGGGGAGGTGAGGGCTCCGGCTGGGGGTGCAGGCTCTGGTGTGGGGCAATGGATGAGGGATTTGGGGGGCAGAAGGGGGCTCTGGGCTGGGGCTGAGGGGTTCGAAGTGTGGGAGGGGGATCAGGGCTGGGACAGAGGGTTGGGGCATGGGGGCTGAGGGCTCTGGCTGGTGGTGCAGGCTCTGGGGTGGGGCTGGGGATGAGGGGTTTGGGGTGTAGGAGGGGGCTCCGGGCTGAAGTAGGGGGTTGGGAGGGGGTACAGGCTCTGGGCTGTGGGTGTGGGTTCTGGAGTGGGACCAGAAATAAGGGGTTCAGGGTGCAGGAGGGGCTCCAGGTTGGGGCTGAGGGGTTCGGAAGGTGGGAGGGGGATCAGGGCTGGGGCAGAGGGTTGGGGCCCAGGGTGAGTTCCAGCTGGGATGGGGCTGTGGATGAGGGGTTTGGGGTGCAGGAGGATGCTCTGGGCTGGGACTGAGGGGTTCGGAGGGTTGGAGGGGGATCAGGGCTGGGGCAGGAGGTTGGGACATGGGAGGGAGTCAGGGATGCAGACTCTGGGTGGCACTTACCTCAAGCAGCTCCCAGAAGCAGCTCCTATATGGAGGTCCCCATGCCCAGCACCATCCCAGAGCCCAGACCCCCAGCTCAGAGCCCATACCCCCTCCTTCACCCCAACCCTCTGCCCCAGCCCTGAGCCCCCTCCTGTACTCCAAACCACTCATCCCTGGCCTCACCCCAGAGCCTGCACCCCCAGCCCAGAGCCCTCACCCCCCTACACCCCAACCCCTGCCCCAGCCCAGAGCCCCCTCCCACACCCTGAACCACTCATGCCCAGCCCCACCCCAGAGCCCTCACCCCCTCCTGCACTCCAACCCCCTGCCTCAACCCACAGTCCCCTCCCACACTCCAAATCCCTCTGCCCCACCCCGCAGCCTGAAGCCCCCTCGTGCACCCCAAGCCCCTCATCCCCAGAGCCCACACCCTCAGCTGGAGCCCACAACCCAGCCCAGTGAAAGTGAGTGAAGGTGAGGGAGAGTGAGCCACTGATGGAGGGGGAATGTAGTGAGCAGGGGTGGGACCTCAGGAAAGGGGTGGAACAGGGGATGGGGCCTAGGGGAAGGGGCAGGGCTAGAGTGTTCAGTTTGGTGCAATTAGAAAGTTGCCAACCCTAGCTTCTGGGAGCTGCGTGGAGCCATGGCAGGCAGGGAGCCTGCCTTAGCCCCACTGCGCCGCTGATCGGACACCTGGCAACTCTACACCTGTCAGGGATGGTCTAGATAATACTTAGTCCTGCCATGAGTGCAGGGGACTGGACTCGATGACCTCTTGAGGTCCCTTCCCGTTCTATGATGGTTAGAATAGGGTTAAGAGAAGGTCAGGATTCCTGTGTTCTAGTCCCATCTTTGCCACTGTCACTCCATGACCTTTGCCAAGATACTTAACCCCTCTCTTATTTTCCCCATCTATGCAATTGGTATTATGAAGTTTAATTAATGAGTATTTGTAAAGAGCTTTGGGATCTAGGGATGAAAGGTGTAACAGAAGAGCTTCTCATTATAATAAAAGAAGCATTCCATAATATGTCCTGTGAATCCTGTGCTTCCATGGTTTTACAGTGCTATGGGTAGGGATATAATTCCCCAGGTTCAGAGGAGTTGAACATTTTGTGGCTTTAGCACAATGGATAATTCCAAGAGTGAATTGTTAAATGAGTCTAAAATGCTTTGAAACTGTCTGTGGAACCATGCACTCAATGAAAACAACTGAACAGTATAAACAGGCTCAAAATAATATTGTACAGAGAATCAGTTGCATGGAGGACTTACTTTGATGGCGCACAATAAGAGGAAATGTTGCCTCTTCCTACGCTTTGCTCCTTGATAGGATTCAGTAGCTCAGGAAGGGAAAGTAAGAGAGAAAGTGAGTGTAATCAAGTGGCTGCTTGCTTGGTTTTCAGAATCACTGTTCTGTTCTGACACTAAAGCACCAAGTTTATAGCTCTTTGTTCCATAATGGCACTTCAGTGAGCACAGGAGACTCAGGATTTTGGTGCTAAAAGTTGTTTACTTCTTAGAACTGTTCCAATGAAAGGAAGCTGTTCTTTATTTATTGTGATAACCTGTATTGTCCATGCCTGTAAGCATTATGACAATAGTGAATGTGAGTACTAGTGAATGATACATTAAACTCTGCCTGAAATGAATCAGAATTATTCTTGTTGATTAACACTTTTGACCTGCTTCTGCATCTATTGACTGTAGTTTGAATAGGGCTTCATAATGACTAAAAAGAGACAGTGACTTTTATTTATTCTGTTATTTGTATTGTATTGCCTTTTAGTTTTTTCCTTGGTCAAATTATAGTTTTTGCTTGATTGTTCATGCTTTTTCCAGCTGAAGATTCCTGACATGTTCTGCGACATGGAGATTGTTCCCGCTCTTCTTCATGGGGATTTGTGGGCAGGAAATGTGGCAGAGGACAATTTTGGCCCAATTGTCTTTGATCCTGCTTCCTTCTATGGCCATTCTGAATTTGACTTAGCAATTGCTGGGATGTTTGGAGGCTTTAGCAGCTCTTTCTTCTCTGTCTACCACAGTAAAATTCCCAAAGCTCCAGGTTTTGAAAAACGAAACAAGTTGTACAAGCTCTTTAATTATATAAACCACTGGAACCATTTTGGGACAGAGTACAGAGGATCTACTCTAAATATAATGAGAGAGCTCTTAAAATAACCATTTAGAGGGTGTTCCTCAAAGAAAATCTATCTATCACAGCCTCTTACTAATTCACATTGCCTACTTGTTGATAGCAACACAAGCTAGAAAGAGTGACACATTGATGAGAAACCCACACGGCAGATATAAAAGATGAAGGATCCTTTGTACGCATTTAAACCCAATAAATGCTTGCGGTGGTTGTATAATTTCTGCATCATGTTCTCGTTTACTAGCACACATCCACATTGGTGAGTTAGGAGATTGTGTACAGTCTGTTATCCAGTTGGTGAAACTACATGTTTGAAAAGCAGTCTGATTGACAGCCTCATCTCATTCTCCATAGGATAACCCAGTTTTCCCCACTCTGTCATCACTCTTTGCCCTTCCTGCCCTATAAGGATCTTATTGTGGGATTGGAAATAATCACTACATTTATCACTTCCTCCTCCTCCACTTTTCCATTTGACTTTTCTCCTCCGTTCCCCTCTACCTACCTCCTAAAGGATCAACTCCAACATCTGTTGAGGTCAGTGGGAGACTTTTTTGGCTTTGAGGGTAGTTGAACTGTGTCCTAATTCAGTTGCATAGTGCAGTCTATGAGTTAGTATTTCTTACATTTATTTTAAATTAAAAATTTTGTACTAGACATTTTTATGACTCTCCTTTCTAAAGGAAAAATGCAGTTCAACAGATACCCCCTAAGAGTAGGTCTCAGCGCCTACTGGAGAATGAAATATATAGGCAGAAAATGGATTATCTACATAAGATGTAGATAAAAATATATTTTATTTAAAACAGCCTTTTGAAAAACATACTAAAAAACTCCCTGCAATGTAACAGACTTAGCTGTTTGAGAAGAAGAAATCAGCAATTCCAGATACTATATTGATTGGTACTCACTCAATACATATGAGTTATACAGAATTAATCTTAATAGAGAATTGGGAAACTAACCTATTCTATCATTGCTGATTTACTAAAGTAAAGGCACCCTGTCAAAATGGTGAGGTCCAAAATTTAATTGTTTTATACTTGTTTGCAGAGTCCCTGTAATTGTTTATGACAGGGCTGCATTCTCCACCACAAACAGGTGGGCTGCTTTTCGGATTTATAAGCACCAGAGTGTTATTTATTAAGTCCCCTCAACAGTTCATCAGTATATGCTTGTGCAGTCAACGTACATGTGAACATAAACTTCCCCCTTAGCCTGCTTTCCAGGGAGGAAGGGGGAAAGACCTCTTAATTCTGTATCCTGTCCCTACCAGTCTCCTCCCCTTGTACTTCCTTCCTCTTCTTCCACTATTCCCTGATGATGGGTTGATTGTTCTCAGTAGCTCAGCAGCCTCCTGCCTAATTAACAACTGTCTCCCAATTAAATCCACTCCAGGGGGAATAGCTAGCACCATAATGATGGGTTAGCGCTAGGTTCCTAGCACTCTTTCCAGTTGTTGAGCAGCTTTTCTTTTGAAACATATTCTGCTTGCTCTCTTTATCTTTAAAAAAACAAAATAGATGTGTAATATTAGCAGCACAGAATTGTGAGCAACCGTAGAATAACAAACCTAATTACCCTTTAATGGAAGAAAAGAAGTGGTAAGTAAACAAAACAGTTATAATTAAAATCCCACAAACGCATACATGAATAGGAATATATATATGGGAGGGATACTGCCTGTAATTGTAGGGCTTCCAAAGATTTATAATGACCAAATGAGTAAACCAGAGTTAAAATGATTAAATATGCTTTGCCACTTTTCTGTTAGTGTTAGCACTGCTATTATGAATCAACTTGAAAAACACCATCCTTCCAATGAAGTAAATCACAGCAGCTATTGAAACAATGTAGATTATTTTATCCATTTTTGTTTGTTTTTTATTTTGTTTAATGTATATAGTCTCATTTTAAACTCTCAGAAACTTTAGACAGTAATCAAGTGGATTTTCTTTCATTGTTCAAATATATAATGGCAGAATCAGAGGGTTAGATTGAAAACCATGCTGCTTCTGAATTCCGTTAAAATTAGTCCAGATTATCACAAGTAATTAAAGTGATTATGCTTCTGTGATTGAAATGGAAAGGTGGAATAATCTTGTTTATAACTAAATTGATAGTGTAGTTATTAGGTGGAGAATCCAGGTCTGAGCTAACAAAGTCCATGAGAGTTAATATGTATTACCTAAAATGTGAACTAAAATACATGTACTGCTTTGTAAAATGTGAAATTAAGATATGTGCACATCAAATAAAATCTAGATACTTGCACTGCAGTAACAAGATCCTGATGTTTCTATGTCTTGTGATTACAGCTTTTCTGTGTTAGTGAAATTGAAACTAAAGATGGGACTGTTATTTGGGAGGGGGTGGAATTGTTGGGTAATGGGACTCTCAACACCAGGAAGCATGACAGGAAGGAGCAAGTGGAAGATTGGATGCTGGGGTCTAGGAGAGAACACAGCAGTGGATGGGAATAAGGTCCTGGAATAGAGCTGAAATGTGGCTGGAGGGTGAGCTATTGAGCTGGAATTAACTGAGGTGGAGAGTTTCTGGGGATAGGTAATAGCCAGTAGGAGGGAAATGTTCCGAACGTAAGTGATCACTGTCATGTGGTAGCAGCAGTTTTTAGTATCAGCACAATGACATTTGTTCCCCCCGAGCATGACTGTATGAAAACAGTTCATTTTATTTCCAGAACTGAATATGATTTGGCTCAGGATTGGACATTGTCTTATTCTGTGCTAAAATATATAATGCATGTTTCTGTATGGACTAAACATCTATGTAGATAACACACAACTGCTCATGAAATAGGATCATAAATGGAGTGATCTGATTGTCTGCTAGCCATTCTGCTTACAACCTATGCAGAGTGACTTCTGAGACAAACTCTGTGCAGCACTTACTGGCATGAGCAGGGTTCTGCATTTGCTGAGCTGGACAAAGCTGCTATCTTGGGACCACAGACCTCCTAGTGTGAATTTTGGATAGTCTAATAATGCATAGCAAACAGGTCACATGCATCCAGAGCAAATCCAAGGCTTGATAGGGAAGTTCTACAAGTAGGTTGTCTACCAGCTGACTAATAGGTTGGCAGACACCACACTGTTTTTATTGGAGTGTAACAGTATTAGTTATAACTGATTAGCTCAATCACCTCATATAGCATGTGTACCCGTTTCCAAAAGCTGTCAAAGAAGGGTTCTGACTGATGGGTCTGCTTTCTAACACCTGGCATAACTGCTAAACTAGAGGCGGATGTCCCCCAGAGCTAGGGGCCAGGAACACCTGAATTTTAATGCCTGCTTTGACAATTTCAGAGTAACAGCTGTATTAGTCTGTAACCGTAAAAAGAAAAATAGTACTTGTGGCACCTTAGAGACGAACAAATTTATTTGAGCGTAAGCTTTGGTGAGCTACAGCTCACTTCATCAGATGCATCCAATGAAGTGAGCTGAGCTTATGCTCAAATAAATTTGTTCATCTCTAAGGTGCTACAAGTACTCCTTTTCTTTTTGCTTTGACAAAGTGATATGGCAAGTGATATGGGCCAACATTTTCATAAGGGTCAGTGAATGTTGATGCCTCAGTTGTGGAGCACCCAGCTTTGAAATACGTAGGTCCTGATTTTCTGAGGTGCTCAGCGCTGGCCGCTCCCACTGACTTCAAATGTAGTTGGGGATGTGTGGCGTTTCTGAGAACAGGGCCCAAGGCATCTCAAACCGGGCATCTAGAATTATCAAATGCTGGATGGAGGCCTGACCTTGCATGTGCGGAGAGGGGAGAACACCTGCCTGGCACACAGAGCCAGTGTGAGGATTACATAGCTAAGGGGGGACAGTGGAGTGGCTGCTAGCTCCCCCAAAGTCACCAACGTTTCAGGCCCTGGAACTGTGATACAAAGGAAAGTTCACAGCGTGAGGAGATATTTAAGGCCGCCCCACACTGCTTTTGCCTGGCAAGCCCCTGTTGGTCTGAGACAGGCTGTTCCCACAACCCCACCCCCTCCATGCTTGTGAGTGGAGCTCATGGAGCTGGGTCTCTGCAAGGCCCGCCTACTCCCCGCCCTCTCAGCTGCCGCAGCACGGAGAGGAGTGGCCGCGTTCAGGAACTGAGCCGTGGCTGCGTTCTTCTGTTCCGCGCGGCGCCCCGTAGCCGGGAGGCAGGTCGGCCAGGGCTGAGCACGGGAGAGGAGGGTTCTGTCCGCTGAGAGGCCCCTGGTAGAGGAGCAGCGGTTGCTAGGGTAACGTGGCAGCTCCTGGGCCCCTGGCTCTGGACTGCCCCAGCCAACGGGGACGGGGAGCCCCGCCCGTGGCTCCGGGTGCAGCAGCTCCGCGTATGGGGGCGTGAGGGGTCCCCGGGGAATGGGGTAGCGGGAGATGGAACTCTCGCTCCGGTAGTGATTCCCAGCCCTGAGGGGCGAGCCGTGGGAGTTCGGGACACGGCGGGATGGGGTAGGGCAGCGGAGCAGCCGCATCCCGCGTGTTGGGGCTGCGGGGAGGAGGAGCCCACGAGAGAGTGACCTGCAGCGTGGGCGTGGCTCCTAGTGTAAGATGGAGCGGGAGTCAGCTAGGGGAAAAACGGCCCCTGGGGGGGACGGCGGCTCTTTCAAACCTCCTTCCCCAGCTGTGGGATGCTGGTCGAGGGGTGCTGCCACACCCCTGGCTTGAAGTACATTCCGTTATATCCAGTGTTTACAATTTGGTGCAGTGGTTCTCTGCACCAGATTGTTCCAGCACCCCTGAGTAGTGGCTCCTCTTTCAGTCCCACCCACCCCTTGGCATGGGATGTTGGGTCTCAGGGGATGGTGACCCCTCTTTCAGTCCTGCCCACTCCCCCCTGTGGGATGTTGGGTCTGGGGTGGTGGCAGCCCCTCTTTTATATCACCCTGCCGGATGTGGGTTTAATTAAATTGTAAATGATTATTTGCTCTTATGTTACCAGGGAAGAATTGGCTGCTCTCTTTGGAAATGGCTTTGAGTGAGATGAATGGGGATGGCTCTGAACAAGAGGAAGGAGGATGCCAGGAGCCAGATGTCATTGCCAGGGGAAATATATTGGAGAGTTTTGCAGAGAGTCAGGAAATCAGAGGGTTAATTAACAGCCTGAAAGGAATATTTGGGGACCTGGGAACACGAGAGGTGACAATTGAAAAATTCATAGGTAAGTTTTCTTGGTTTGAAGATGTACAACCTATAGGGAGTATATTTTCATGTTGGTTGAAATAACCTCATAGGACAGTGTAAACAAATGCTTTTACACCAATTCTTGCTCTTACAATTATTCAGAGGAAGATTAGTTTTATTATTTATTCACTTTACCTTCCAGATAGATGTACCAAGCTTATTAGTCATGATAATGGGAGTCAGTGCTCTCTTGGCTGTCTGAACAGTCATATAGCACAAGATCCTCTCAGTGTATCAAGGAAACCATTCCAGAATGAACAAGCAGTAGGTTTAGATATATATTTTTAATAATTGACTTTAAGGGTGAATTATCTATCCTTGGACTTGGTCCTAGTCCCACTGAAATCAACGTAAGCAGGAAGGGGACCTTTTTAGTTAGTTCCTCTCCTTGTAATACTGCTGTTTGATTATTGGTTTCATGAAATGAAGCGTTGCCATCTAGCTGTTAAAGCACAGGTCTTGGAGTTGGAAGATGTGAGTTCTGATCCCACTTTAGCCACTTGTCTGACTGAGTTGTCTCATGATTGGATTATTCTTGTTTCCAAGTACTGACAGCATGCTTGTGACTGTACAAGACAATTGACAAGTGCTATGAAAAGCTTAGTCTAGGAGGGGCATAGAAAGTAGATAGTGTGAGGCCCTGAAGAAGGAGTTGGTTAGGTAACTTTCCTCAAACTTTAAATTCTGTTCATTTGTTTTGGGGTCTGATTGCTAACAAAAGTAGGTCTCTTGGAGGGATTTGAGGAAAGGGTTGCCCTGGTATCAGGGGTGTGGGAGGGAATTCAGTGCATAGAGGATATAAAGATGGATAAAACGATGAGCATGGAATAGAACATCAGAGTGGAAAGAACATGGAAGTAAGAGTTCATTGTTGTGTTAAGCAGAAGGAAAAATATGCTTTAGAAAAGAGCCTTTAGAAATATCATATTGCCTCTATCCATGGTACTCCCAAATCTTGAATACTGCATGCAGATGTGATCACGCCATCTCAGAAAAGATATATTGGAGTTGGAAAAGGTTCAGAAAAGGGGAACAAAAATGATTAGGGGTATGGAATGGCTTTCATATGAGGAGAGATTAATAAGACTGGAACTTTTCAGCTTGGAAAAGAGACGACTAAGGGAGGATATTATTGAGGTCTATAAAGTCATGAAAGATGTGGAGAAAGTAAATAAGAGTTGCTGATCATTTGCAACTTCCATTGAAGTTAACAGGAATTGTAGGTGCTCAGCAATTCTGAAAATAAGAACTGTCTCTCAAACTAGACACCCCAGAATTAGTGGATGCTTTCTGAAAACTTGGGCCTTAGGTCTTCTGTGTGTATTTCCCTATGTGTAAAATATGACTAATATTTAAATATGTCACGGGGTATTGTGAAAATTAAATCACTATTATATGTGAGATGGTTTGAGATCCTTGTATAGAAGGTCATGTAGGTGTATAGAGTTTATTAGGCAGCTACTGTGATGAAATTAAGAGAAGTATCACAGAGAAGTGACAGTTACCAAAGGTGATACCTACAGTAAAGATACGTGAGGGAGATATCAATTGGTTGGGCCAGATTGTCATGACACACATTCAGCTCTGTACAAATATGGAAATAGTGAAGAAGTGACTTATTTTCTCCAGCAGTTATTTAGATAAGTCAAGAAAACATTATATTTTTGGCTTTTTAAAATATTATTCCAGAGGTTGTATGTTGTCAGGGCCGTCCTTAGGATTTATGGGGTCCTATGCAGTATTATTAAACTGGTGCCCCTATGCCCGATGGCAGCCCAGGCTCACAGCCTGAGGGGGGCTGGGAGGGATGAGGCAGCAAAGGATAGCAAGATGCCCGTCCTGCCTCACGGTGGCAGTGAGTCACAGTTCCCCCCCAGAGACCCCGTACCCTCTCTGTCACGCAGAATGGACATGCAGAAGATACCTAATTAAAAGCACTAAAAGCACGTATTGGGAATAAAAAATCAGTCACAGATTTTTTGATATGCCCTGAAGTTTGTCAGTTTTATTTGCAAAAACTTTGTAGTAAGGGTGAGTCAGCTGTCTTGCTGAATACAACATTAAATATTATGGAATACATGATGCAGCTCTTTTCT